CACAAAAAAAAAAAAAAAAAAAAAAAGTGATTACCAGGCTGACACGAGTATAGTAAAACTGCAAGGGTGCTCTGAGGAAGGTTTTTGGCAATACACATACACCACTATCAAAGTGTTCAGACTCTTAACACGGTGCTGCCTTTCCAACAGCTACTGCCAACCACTCCCATGGACTAAGCACGGATGTACCAGTTCTCCCAGATGGGAGTCTCCAGCCCAGACCATATACCTGAGCTCAAACTTGTGTCTATAAAACATCTCCAGCTGGTGCCCCCTCCCCCTCAGTAGTTCCCAGTGAATGTACCACTGAGTCACCAAGCCAGAAACCTAGGGATCATCCTAATTACCTCCTTGTCCCTCACCCCTGCACATACGTCATTTCCCAGTCAGATCCTGCCAATACTCCATCTGCAATGTCTTTTGAATTTCCCCCCTCCTCCTCCCCACAATCACAGACCTGGGTCCCACCCTTCTGTTTCTTGCTTGTGTTGTTGAAACAGCCCTGGCCCATCTCCTCCAAGTCACTCACACTTCCTTCAAACCATTCTACAAGGAGCAGTCAGAGTTATCTTTCTAAAGCACAAAGCTGATCCCATCCTCTTTAAAATCTTTCAGTGGCTCCCCATTGTCTACCTACAGGTTAAAGTCCAAATTCTTAAGATTTAACAGCCCTTCGTGTTCCAAACTGCCTCGCCACCATCTTTCCTCTGAAGATCTTCTCCTGGCTTTCCGTCCCCTCCTCCCAGCCTGCCTCTCCCATTGTAATGTGAATTCCTTGAGAGCAGGAACTAGATCTCAATCATCTCTATTTCCCTGGCTTATAATACAGAGCTTGACACAGAGTAGGCACTCAATAAATGTTGGGTGAAGGAATGGTTTTATCCTAAGGTAATCATTCCACTGAAGGAAAAAGCCATATAAAGGAAACTATTCTCTGTAGCAACATTCATAATAAAGAAAAGGTACAAAAAACTAAATGTTCAAAAATAAAGAACTTTTATTAATTATGGGATATCCATTTAATGGAATATGATGCAGCTGTTAAAATACTCATTATGAAGATTATGTAGCAACTCAGAAAGTTTTTATAATATAATAAAAGCAGAATACAAAATAGTCTGTACGCTAGGCCTAAAATTATGTAAAAGTATGCATGCACACAAACTAATCAGAATGAGAACAGGAACAGGAACAAATGAATACAGATGATGTGTTTAGGGTGTTTGGGGAGGTACTGTTTTGTGATTTTCTTAGCTCTTTCCCAATTCTCTTTATTGTTGTTAGAATGTCATTTGTCCATAAATACAAATTGACAGAGAAAAAAATATACTGGAAATGCTTTGATTCCGTCAAATCCTTTGACAAGCTGTGGTACAAAAACAAACCAACCACTGACCTGGGAGGCAAGAGACCAGCCTCCCTACCCCATCCCCCACTCCCAGCTAGCTGCGTGATCTTAAGTAAGATCTGCAGCT